AGCAGTTCCTCCAGTTTGTATTGTTGATTTGAACCTCTCACCATTCTTTGTTTTTTCACCTCTTAGTTTTTCCTGTTTTTAGATCTTTAACCATCTCACTTCTTACTTCTTTCTGCACTTCTTTTCTCTAATCTTCCTATTTTTTTCCCCTTCCTTCTTGCTCCTTCATTTCCAGGCTTTTTTCTTGTCCTCTTAACTTTTCTGAATTTTGTCTTGTTTTACTTTGGTCCCACCCAGGCTCTTCTCCTCCCAGTTTCCATTTCGTCCCAATTTGGTGCTGCACCTATAATCCAGTTTGCAGGTGAACCTTTCTCACTGCTGCTTTGGTACTGGGTTTTCATCACAATCCAACTGGTATTTTTTTTGGCTGTCTTCTGAACCGTTTCTTTCTTTTTTTCTTCTTCACAAGATCGACTATTTCCCTTTTGCATGCTTTGCTGCTACCATTTTCCCTCTTATCTTTTCAGATGCTCTCTTTTTTAGAGTCTTAATTTGGTCTTGTCCCTCCCTTCACTCACTTCTCTAAGTTTCTCCTTCTATAACTCAGTTTCTCAGTTCCTGCTCCTCAATTAATCTTTAATCTATATCACCTTAGTTCTCCAATTTGTTTCCTTCACCCTTTACCCAACAACATTATTCATGTTCCCAATGAGAAAGAGGGATTCATAAACATATCTCAATTGCTTCCCTAGGCCACCAAGGGATTCAAATAATATCCATTATTTGAAAGAGCAAGAGAAAGAAACCTAGACTTGAAATGCTGATTCACAGTCATAAGTCTCTAAACTTGCTTGATTTGCAGTGGGGAATCAATTGCTGTATTTCTTTTGCCATTCTTATTTGCACTAAAAATTCTGATCTCATGAGTCATGTCTGAAAATTGTCTATCAAGCCTAGCCAAGAGTTAAATAAGGGTTAAGGGTCCAGAAACCTATGATTTACTTCCAAGACCAGAAGTGAACTTTGAAAATTTGATTGTTTCCTCTTATTCTCAACACTCTTCAGTGAAAGTTGTTGCTTAGAAACCAGGCATAAAGACTCAACCACTACTTAACTCCACTAACCATTGATCAAGTCACCAATCACTTGTTCCAATTTCAGAATCAAATATCACACTAGATCAGCCAATTAACCAAAGAGATGGGACAGAATCTACAAAAGTCATTATTAGAGCAGCTAATTCTCCTTTGATATTTAGTTCTTGTCTAAATACAGACAACTATGTTAGAAATTCCAGAAAATATATTTACTTCATCATAAATGTGAACTATACATCTCTCTTAGACCAGATGGTTTCTTTAATGACTGAAAGTATCTGCTAATAAATATTCACTAAGGTAAGATTTCCAGATAACCTTATTGTTCATGAAACAGTCTAGTTTCCTTTAAATGATCTAAATTAATGACAGTCAACATATCTATAGCAATGAATTCTACTTTGTAAAAAAATACTTCCTTTTATTGTGCATAATCTCCTCACATATAGCATCAATGGATGAGCAAAATAATAATGCTGAAAGGTAGGTAAATACTTTGTAATTTCCCATTAATACGTATGTGCATGCATGTTTAGCATGTTGCACTTCTTATAAAGCTTCTTTTAATATGAGAAAAATCCAATGTACAGGGGTTAATTTTGTCCTTAACAATTTCAATTTTCCCTATTGTGCATGTTCTCTAGTTTTATACTCTTTATATCCTACAACTTTAAAAGTATAACAGCTACCTTGATAGAGGAGAGAAATATATTACAGTTATCTTTTCAATCAAGGCTCTCCAACTTTGGCAACTTTAAGACTTGCAGACTTCAACTTTTAGAATTCCTCAGCCAGCCATGCTTTAAAGAAACTAAAAATTTAAAAGCTTGTGAATGTTTTTAAAAAACCTGTTTTAATTAATGGATTCATTTATACATTTCTACGTCTAAAAATTAATATCTACAGTCTTGGACATGGGAAGAGAATTACTAAAATTTCTGGTGGCTCTGATAAATTCACCACTACTCTGTTAATTTCTTCTAACCTTTGTGGGTAAGTCTAGTGCCTCATCACATATGGTAGAAAAAGCTGTTTGTTATTCCAATAAATGAGCATCCAAATTAATAAGTTTTATATTTTCATTTTGCAATGAATGATGCTTTATTCAGCGCAAGAAGACCACACCACAAATGTATTTAAACCCTTCAAACCAAGCTACAGATATTGCTCTTCTGTTTCAAAGTCCCTGCAAAACATTTCATTCCTCGCATCAGACAGATAGCTGACTTGGTCAGTAGATTTTGACAGAGGATTTGATTAACGAAAAAGGTTAAATGGCAAAAATCAATATAGCAGCATAGCTGAAGCTGCTTCGATGAACTGATGGTCTAGATTGATAACCGTAACATGCCTTTGTATCCAGAAATAGATTTGTTCCCCACATATCTGCTAAGAATAAATGGAAACAATGCATTGTTCACAAGAAATGACAGCTGTAGCTTAGAAGCATTATTTCCAACTCTCAGCTATGTTGGAGTTCATTTGTGTTGATCACGCTGACTGGAAGATGACTGAACCAAACTATCGTGATTGCAAGGACACTTAAAACAGTCTATGCCACTGTTTGGGAAAGGCTAACTTAGAACAACTATAATATAAAAAATAATATTAATACTGTTAAAAGGCTTTGAGTGTTGACTTTAAGACTTGTAAGAGGGTTTTTTTTTAATCTCAACACAAGTAAATCCAGATTTAAATGTATGTGAGCTATGGTGGCACAGTGGTTAGAATGCAGTACTGCAGGCTACTTTTGCTGACTGCCTGCAGTTTGGCTATTCAATTCTCGTTGGCTCAAGGTTGACTAAGCCTTCCATCCTTCCAGGGTCGGTAAACTGAGGACCCAGATTGTTGGGGGCAATATGCTTACTCTGTAAACCACTTAGAGAGGGCTGCAAAGCACTGTGAAGCAATATAAAAGTCTAAGTGCTGTTGCTCTTGCTATTACTAATACAGGTAGTCCTCAATGTACAATGTAACTTACAAATTCCATCATAAGTCATGATGGTCATTAAGTCAAGACACCCGATTGACTGTGACCGACCCAATTTTATTATCTTCTTTGTAGCAATTAAGCAAACACCATAACTGTAAAGTGAACACTGTGGTTGTTAAGTGAGTCCTTATGTGTGTGGTTTTTGCTGGAAACTAGCCGAAAAGTCCGGTTTCCATAAAAAAAGCTATAAATCACGGAAGATGACTATGGAATGCTGCAACTAGCTATAAAGACAATCTAGTTAATATTTAAAATGTGATTATGTGACTGCAGGAGGAGGGTATTGCAGCCACTGGAACAGTAGAACCAGGTCAAGTACCCTTTGGGGGTTCTGTTGTAATTTTGATTGGTCACTAAGCAACCTGTCATTAAGCAAGGACCCCCTATACCCAATTTTGAGAACATTAGAATCTGATTATGTTTAGGGATATGTGAATATTCACATATGAAAAACAAAAATTGTCAGTAGCTCTGAAAAGTATGCATATATGTTTGTGTGTATATGTGTGTATGTGTATGTGTGTGTGTATGTATGTGTGTGTGTGTGTGTGTGTGTGTGTATCCTTAATGGTTATAAAAATACGAATCTGGGGCATATTTGTTCAATGATGCAATCTTCGATCTCCGGGAAGAGTATACTCCAGTTATTTATTGTTAAAACAACATTTAAAACAATAAAAACAGTTATATACAAGATTAAAACAACTTAGCTTTCGCTGGTCCTCTGCCAGCGTCCTCAGAGTGGGGCTTAGGGGGTGGGAAGTATGAGTAGGCAATTGGATCAGCAAGGGGATAAAAAGAACTTCCCACCTCCTAAGCCCCACTCAGAGGACGCTGGCAGAGGACCAGCGAAAGCTAAGTTGAATACATCGTTTCCTAGTCATATAATATTTCTTAAGAAAAATATTTTCATTTACATGGGTTTTACAGGACATACAGGAAAGCAGCCACAAGAAAGCAGAGACACAAGTTCATTTACTACATTTCTATGTAGTGTATTGCAAAATTTGAACCATTACTTGTATAAGCTCTTCTACTGGACCATTCCTGTTTGACTCTTCCCTCTGATGTCCATTGTTAAAACAAACCACTAAATCTTAATGCTTAATCAGAACTTGGCTTCTTTTTCTTTTTTCAAATGATTCTTAACCTGAGCTTATTCTTGTTTATCAATTTTCATTTATTTAAAATCTACAAACCACAACTGTGGGTTTAAGCAATATACTGTTTTATTTACTCATTCACACTGATAGGAACAGCCATGCAGAAGAAAACAAACTGAATCACTTGTATATGGCGTGTGAATTTAGGTGAATGCAAAGGAAAAACAGAAAATGTGGTTTCTGTCAATCTCAAGCAAAGATAGTATTGAAGAAATGTCTACTTGTGAATGACTAGTCTCGCAAAGAATTAAATATTGGGACATGAGAACATATTTCGTTATTTATTTTATTTTTAAAATAAATGTTAGCCATCTGTCCTTCCATTAATCTTAAAGTGGGGTATCATAAAGCAAGCTATTCTGATCAGAATATTTAGTAAAATAAAAGAGAACTATCACAATAATATGCCTGTGAAGGGCAGTATAGTAACTTGAAAATTAAATTAGCTACAATGATGGAGCATAGAAGTTAAAACCTAGACTAATAGCCAAGATGGATGGTCCAAGGAGTACTTCTCCCTGCATCTTATTATTTAAGCATTAAATTTACTGGCTGCAGATCTTACCACAATTCTGTCCTTGGCCTCAAATAGTGCAATTTGAAATTCACCTATAGACATTAAATATACAGATAAATTCAACACTCTGACCAATATTTATTGGAAGTATGTATGTATATCTATGTATCTCTAAATTAGAGTGGATGTAAGTGATTTCATTAGTAAAATATGTTCAAAGCATGTCACAAAGCATTTGAGGAATTTTTTTCATTGGTAACTTGATATTTGGAATGTAATAACTCACTTACCTCTAAAACAAGATAGCTGGACATGTGTTAATGCAACTGAAACAGAGAATAAAGATTTGTTTGTTCCTCCATCATGGGATAAGTTGTAAACTATGTTGTCCATCTATAGTTCACTCATATTCTTTTCCACTATTCCACTTTACAATGATATACACGCATAAATATAAAATAAATATTTCTGGTACATATTCATCAGATTGTGAAATTGTATTACATACACAATATTCAGAGTTTTTTTTTTACTGTTGCCAGGAATGATTTCTTCAGATGTTTCAATTACTTTCCCCCCCCCTAAATAATCATCCAAAAGTAAGTTCCTTGAATTAGTGCCAGCAGCAGAGAATAATCTATGCCAACTAAAGTGAAAGTTAGCAAGCTAAAAAAGCTATAAACAAAATGTTCCATTATTTTTTCTCTCTGAAAGACAAGCATTCTCTAAGACAGGGATGGGCAACTTTTCAGGGTCCAGAGGAACCACATTTTTCATTTCTGCCTGTATGGCAGATGCTGGGTTTTGATACCGTTTGGTTGGATTTTTAAGAGTGAAATTGCTTTTTAAGCCCCATAAAACTACAGAAATAGTCATGGTTGCCTACTTCTGCTCTAACATACTAAACAAAGGCACTAGTTTTTAATCACTTTATAGCAGTGGTCCCCAAACTTTCTTCTTGGTGGATGGCTGCGGGTAAGAGGGGGTAGTTCCACGCAAGCAACTCTTGTGCAAATGGAGCTTCATGTGTGAGCATGCCTGGCCACCAGTGCAAGTGGAGCTTTGCATGCAAGCGTTACCCACCTGCCACCTGTGCATGTGGAGCTGCATGAGCACCACTTTGGTGGGCTGATTCCAAATGGACCATGGCCCAGTACCGGACCATGGCCTGGGGGTTGGGGACCCCTGCTTTATAGAAAGCAATGTCCAATAGAGGAAGGGTGAAAACATATTAATGCTTGCCAAATATCTCAGGTATCACACAACCAACAGATATCTCACACACACACACAAACACCTACACACACACACACACACACACACACACACAGTTGTACACATTTCTATTAAGATTTACAAAGTCCAAAATAAATGACAATAAAATAATACTTGTTTAATCGTTAAATATTGTGTTGGGTAGGTAGAATGTAGAATAACAGACAAGGTAGCTTGCCTTCAGAATTTGTGGATACTGTATCTCTCTTGTCTCAAGTCATTTTCACAACAATCTCATGAAGTTAATTCTTCCTCATAGCTTTCCATTTACATAGTATCCTGTCATACCTGCCAACTCAGATGGAAAGCCTTTTTAGAAGACAATTATGAAATGTTGATTGCAGTTGAAAGGCAGTTTATTGTTAAACAAGAACTAACTATAATGTAATAGTCAACATGTACTATCTATTGATATACAGTATAATCAAGATTTCTACAAATCACAAAAAGCACATGGTTTTAAACAAAACAAATAAGATAATAGAAAAAAATATGCTAACCATTCGTGATGCTTTGAATGAACTGTTCTATTCTCATTGGCTGGGATATCCTTTAAGACACAGAAGAAAATAACTTACTTTGTTACACTTAGTTAGATTAACAAACAGAAACAACCAATATGACAGAATGTAAGATATGTAGATGTGATATAATTAATTTGCTAAAAACTATTTGTTATTATGAAGAAATGCTGTAGGACTTGCTGCACAGAATGTTGATTATCAAAATATGTATACTAATGTATTATACTGAAGGAAAATATCTGCCACTAATCTAGATTTTAACATATCGATATATTCTACAGCATTATCACCTAGACTAGAGCAAAGGATATCTAGGTAGAGAGCACAAGAAGAAATCTACTATTGTAGTAATATATCTGAAAATTCAGAACCAGATTCCAAAACTTTCTCAGTGCATGATGACCTGAATTTAAAAGTAATGAAATCCACATTTAATGCATTTTTAAATTACTACAAGAATATTTTAACTTAGGACGCAATCAAGATGGAACTATTATGTAATCTCTGCTATTTGCATTCCTTCTTGCCTAAAGCATCTGATCCATCCCTTGATGTCGTCCAGCATTAAAATTATCATACTCTCATCTAATTTGATGATTTTACATGATATTTCTTGGACTACGTAAATCATATGTGTATATATATATTGTATGCATTTCGGTTTCTCAAAGAGGAATCGGATTGTATGTAAATTAGACATTTGATGATGAATTATACCAAAAGATTTTGATGATAAACTATATCAAAAGATGAAAACTAATCAAACTGAGGTGCACCCTGGAATTAAGGAGAAACTTCCTACCAGTGAGATTAAGCGGAGCAGCTTGCCTTCAGAATTTGTGGATACTTCATCACTGGAGGTTTTTAAGAAAAGACTGGACAGCCACTTGTCTGAAATGGTATTGGATCCCTGCCTAAGCAGGGGGCTGGACTAGAAGATCTCCAAGGTCCCTTCTAGCTCTATTCTATTCTATCATTCTATGCCTTTTTATATTAGGAATAAGGTGGCAAAAATGTACAATCAAACAGAAAATACGCAAGACTCCAGAAAACAGGCTTTCATATGATTATCTGAACATTATACTAGAGCAGGGTAGGCAACCTTGGCTCTTTTATGACTCGTGGACTTTATTAACTCTCAGAATTCTTGAGTCAGCATGGCTGGCTCAGGAATTCTGGGAGTTGAAGTCCACGAGTCATAAAAGAGCCAAGGTTGCCTACCCCTGTACTAGAGTTATGTGGATTGCAGGTGATCTGTCATATAAAAACATAGAATATATGACTTGGGAGAAATCTTAAAGAATACATATATCACTTAGTGACAGCAATCTTGGCAGTTCCCATTACCATGGTAACCAAATCCCAGAAGTACTTAGGATCCACTCCAATCAAAGCCATTTCCTGGCTCGTCCCTCCCAGCCCTGAGCTTGCTAAAGTAAGGGAGTACCTCTTTGCTCCACTTGACTCCCCCACCTGCCTATCTCCCTCCCCATTTCTGCCCTTTGGCCACATGCAGGTCTGTTGCCACCAACCGCCTTCATTGCTCAGCAATCCTCAACACCACTGCAATGGCTAGAACTTCAACGACTGGTCGTAAATCCTTTCATTCAGCACAACTGTAATTTTAATTGCTAAATGAATTGAATGTTAAGACAGGATTACCTACATCCCGAGACCTCCAGTATTGATGAATCCAGCACTATTCAAGGCAGACTGTTTCTCTGCTTAACAGCAATTGGCATGAAAAAAAAAAATCTAATCCGTTTGAATCTTTTTCCTTTTAATTTTAGTATATTGGTTTCAATGGATAACAAGTTGCATATGAGAGTCTTTTAAATATTTGTTATTATATGGACTTTAGCCTTCTCTACTGCACTCATCTCCTTTTACCATTCCTCTAAGAATCTTTGCTTTTAGACCATGTGTCATAGTGCTCTTTCCCTCTTTTCCATTTCTGTTGAGGGACAGAGCCATGATGAGTGTGTTAATGATGTAAAGAGATAGGGCTGTGTAAACACACATGTATAAGATGTTAAGTATTATTCCAAACTTAGAAATAAAGGTTAACACCGAGCAATTTGTACTTATATTTCATAAGACATAATGTACTGTAAAATGAGACAGGGAAATAAACAAACTTCACTTGCAATCACCTTTATTGGTGACATTCTTTAAGTAAATGTGATACCATTAAGTACTGCCCAATATTCCTGTTATAATAAAATATGTTGACATTACTAAATTTATTGTGAATGTAATTTTCCAAAATTTACCACAGCTTAGCATTTTATGATAATTTGTTCTATTTCCCTCATTAGATTTTATTGAATATTTATTTTGAGCTATTCATCCCTTCTTCTTGCTTATTTATTGTTCCAGTTCTTTTTCAAAAGTATCAACAGAGTTGATAATTTATTCTTGTCAACCAAGGTCAAGCAGAAGAGTGTGAAGCCCAATTATATAATCATTTCAACTCCTGAGCAGCAATAGGAATATGCGGTATATAGACTAACATTATCATACTAGATAAGCTGGTCTGAAGATGCCAACAAATGTGACTGGAATAAAATTTCCCCAAATTAAAATGTTTTGAAAAAGGGATGTTGTCTTACCTGAATGCCTTTTCTTAGCATGATGATGGAGAATCCACGAATGTGTTTACACTGTCTTCCTGCCCAATTAGACTAAGTCTGACAAATTAGCCATGCCTCCTGCTGGGCCCTGGTGCCTCCCAGACACAATGAAGGCAAAGCTATTGACAATAGTCCATTGTGTTGGCTCCTCTACCCCTAACACAGGCCTGACAGACTAAAATGGGTGGGTGTGGATTCTCCATCATCATGCTGAGAAAAGGCGTTCAGGTAAGACAACGTCCCTTCTCCAGTATGAGGATGGAGAATCCACAAATTCAGTCTGGGCCTGTGTCCCACTTGATGGCACCACCTGCTGGAGCACTTTCTGGCCAAATGAAGCATCCGCGGAAGCAAATCTATCCAGCCTGTAATGCCTCACAAATGGGGAAGGTGAGGACCAAGTCACTGCCCTACAGATATCCCCAATGGATGCTTGTGATGCCCATGCTGCTGATGTTGCAGCGCTGTGGGTGGAGTGAGTGGTGATATGGCTTGGAACTGACAGGGAATGCAACTGGTACGCTCTTGCGATGCATGCCTTGATCCACCTGCCTATTGTTGAAGACGAGACCTTCTGTCCCATGGAAGAAGGTTGAAAGGAAATAAAGAGTGCTTCCGACTTGCAAAAGGCTGAAGTTCGCTTGAGGTAATGGCACAATGCCCTTCGAACGTCCAAAATGTGCCATTGGCGCTCTAATGCATGAGATAGTCGAGGGCAAAAATTTGGGAGAATCACCTCCTGTGATCTGTGGAACAAAGAATTTACTTTCGGTATGAAGGATGGATCCAGTCTGAGGACCACTCTGTCATTGTGAAAAATGCATAGGTCCTCTCTGACAGAGAGAGCAGCTAGTTCTGAGATGTGTCTGGCTGATGTGATGGCTATGACGAAAGCTATCTTCATGGTTAAGAACCATAGTAAACATGTCTTGATGGGCTCAAATGGTGGAAGGTTAAAGCCTGCAAGAGTCACGGAAGTTCCCAAGAGGGATAACGATGAACCATGGGTGGCTTGGTGTTAGTTGCGCCCTTGATAAAGGACTGCACCATGGGGTGCTGAGCCAATGGTGTTGAATTGACATATGTAAGCACCATGGATAGAGCCGCCACTTGCCTGTGGATGGTATTGGGTGACAAGTCCTTGTTGAGTCCCTCCAATAAATACTCAAGGATTTTCGGAAAGGTGATGGTCGAGAGATCAAGGTGGTTTCTTGTGCACCAGTGGCAAAGGTTCTTCAACAAGGAGTCATAGATCCTGTTGGTTGAGGGGCGTCTAGAGGCCTGAATCATGGAGATTATGCCCGCCGAATAGGCCTCCTGGACCAGGAGCCGCCATTCAAGTGCCAGGCGGCTAACTGGAGCCACTGAGGGTCCGGGTGCTGCAGAGCCTCCTGGCTGAGTGTCACACGATCTGGAGGAATTCTCTACTGTGGAGAGATGGAAAGGCTCACGAGGTCGGCAAACCACGGTTGTCTTGGCCAGTGTGGAGCAACTAGTATTACCTCTGTCCTATCCTGTAGTATCTTCCGGATAATGGCCTGGAGCAAAGGGAGAGGGGGAAAGGCATAGAGCAGGCCCTCAGGCCATGGACTGCAGAGGGGGTCCACCTGCTCTGCCCCTGGAGATGGAAACCAGGAGAAAAACCTTGGGAGTTGGGCATTTGCCAGGGAGGTGAACAGGTCCAGCACTGGAAGTCTGAACCTCTCCGAGATCTCTCTGAATAAATCAGGAGGCGGGCGCCACTCTGAGTGATCCACTGTCGACCTGCTCAAGGAATCTGCCTGCTGGTTTGCCTCTCCCGAGATGTGCTCTGCTTTGAGGGAGGAGAGGTTGGCCTCTGCCCAAGTATTCAGCAACTGGGCCTCAGTCATGAGGAGCCTGGACTGGTACCCCCTGCCAGTTCACATGGGCTTTCGCTGCCATGTTGTCCGTGAGCACTAGGACATGTTGTCCTGCCACTCTGTCGCTGAAGTGGCACAGTGCCAGATTATGGCTCTGAGCTCTAGCCAGTTTATGTTGTATTTGAGATCTGACTGTGACCATCGGCCCTGAGCTAACTGAGAGTGCAGATGTACCCCCCAGCCGAACAGACTGGCATCTGTCGTTAGGATAAGCCTGGCTGGTTCCTTGAATAAGGAGCCTCTGACTACCTCTGGGAAGGTCCACCATTGAAGGGATTCTAGGGTTTGAGGCGGGACCCTTATGTTGGAGGAGCTGGTGCCCTCCATCTAAAATGGGAGCAGAAACCATTGAAGGGTTTTGGAGTGTAGCCTGGCCCATGGTACCATCCCCATACAAGAAACCATTTTTCCTAACAGTTGGGAGAATGTGGCCAGTGTGACCACCCACTCCCTCAATACCTGCCTGATCAGGGCCCGGATGCTGTCCTGATG